GAGAGAGAGAGAGAGAGAGAGAGAGAGAGAGAGAGAGAGAGAGAGAGGAGGGCCATTTTAGAGACCAGTTTAAGTAAGAAAGCGGACAGGGGTGAACAGATAGCCTCTGAGCTTGCACTGTCCCTGGGCCATCAGTCTGTACTCTTTCTCCACAGACAACTGTCCCAGGTGATCCAAGTTCGATACCTGTCTGGGCCTGAGAGAGTCAAGAGGCATGTCGTGCTAGCTGAATTCTTCTCTGGGGCCTGGAGCCAGGGGATCAAGAAACTCATCACCCTGCCGCTCGTGGGGAAGCCCTTGAACCTGGACCGAAAGGTGAGGCCCCTAGACGCTCCATTCCCAGCGCCACACTTCGCCATAACTGTCCTTTTTCTTCTTCCCCACTCAACACCCTCCGAATCCCCTTCGCTTCCCTCACAGCAGTTAGGCAACCCCTCAGCCCTGAGATGCAGTTCTGGGTGCAGGTCTCAGTAGACACATGGCTGCTGTGTTGCACTAAGTATTTATGCGTATAATACAATGTGTATGCCACTGAGGAGGATAAGATGAAAGTGTCAGTCAACACTGGGCAGGTTGGAAACGCTCTACCGCCTACTATGTCAGCTGCTCGGCTGAAGGAGCTGCCTCCCTGCTGTTGGTAGGCAGTGTCTGAGCTGAACCTCAGGAGAGGGCTGTGACTCTTCTTTAGATGAAGATTTACACCTTGGCTGAATATCTGAATCCGCATTAAAAAGCCGGGGGCTAGAGAGAACACTGGCTGCTCTAGCAGAGGGCACCAGTTTGGTTCCCAGCACTCAAATAGTTGCTCCAAAGGATCCAACACCCTCTTCTGGCATCCGTGGGCTCTGTGCCTATGTGGCACACAGGTATACATGTAGGTAAAACCCATATACATAAAATAAAGTAAACCTAAAAAAAGGCAGACAGGATCAAGTATGGTGGGATTCAGACTTTTAATCCCAGCACTCAGGAGGCAGAGGCAGGTGAATCTCTATGAGTTCAACTCCAGCCTGATTTATATAGTGAGTTCCAGGGCCGCATAGTGAGACTATGCCTCATAAAACAAAACTAACCCAGACAAAAAGCCCATAATGTGGAATTTGGTGGCTCTCTGGGATTTGATGGCTGGTCTGCCCAGTGCAGTTGGTGTGATTCAGTGTGAGCCTATCTCAAAAAAGTCACGTGAAGAACAACTGAGGAAGAGCTGTCTGCACATGTGTGTACCGCATGCACACACGTGGGTACATATGATTACTGGAGCACGCACAGAAGTTATCAAAGAACACTCCCACACGCAGAGAGACCCACTCTGACCAGTCTAGCATATAATTCTTCCTGGTCTTTTCTCTCATGGGCCTTGGTGTTATGGACACCAAGGATGATGTTCCCGAGTCCCCTGCTCGAAACTCAGTTCAGTCAACTCTGCCATTGAGCAGCCTCTGGGATTTCCTCTCTGCTCTCCTAGCCCAGGACCACCTGCTTTGCCTCACTCTGTCTTCAGAAGGAGCAGTTCTAAAACACAGTCTGGCTGTGCCTCTCCTTTGATACTCCTGATAGCTCCCCAGTCTGAGCTGGTTAGCCTGCCTGCCAGGGCTCATCTGCTGTCAGGTCTGAGTCTCCCCTGCCTTATAAGGGCCTTCCTAAGTTCATTGTGTTCTTGGCCTCCAGGTCTCTGTCTGTCACTGGGCTTTGTTGTTGTTATTGTTGTATGTGTTTGTTTTTGTTTTTGAGATGGGAGTCTCACCTTCCTGTCTCAGCTGGCCTAGAACTTAAGCTCAAGCAATCCTCCTGTCTTTGCCTCCTGAGGATTGGGGATGGCAGATGAGTGCACAGTGCCCAGCAATGCCGTTGCTCTGAGGTATTTCAGCAGACAGGCCCAGCTCCGATGTCCCATCTTCAGCAGAACTTTCCCATTTCCTTATGTGCCTCATCCTTGAATTGCTCAAGCCCCAGGTCCCTTCTTCTGTCCCGGCCTGGCTGTGTGCCACCTTAGCCAGTGGTTGTGGCATGAAGGAAGCACTTGAATTCAAGCTGATACCACTTCCCACCTCCACCAGGTGGCCCCACAGCCACTGTGGTTCTCAGGCACAGTGGCCAACCGGAGGAAGCTGACTGAACTGCCCTTCCATCTGCTGCATGCAGGCCGCTTGGAGGAGTTGAAGCAGGAGGTGCTGGGTAAGGGGCCATGACAGAGGCCATGAGGGCCTTAGAGGTCTCATCTACCCATCCATCCATCCATCCATCCATCCATCCACTCATTCATCTATATATCCATCCATCTATATATCCATCCATATACATGTGTATATATATACATGCATATATATATATATATATTCATCTACTCATCCATCCATCCATCCATCCATACATACATACACATATCCATCCATCCATCTATCCATATATCCATCCATCCATCCATCCATCCATCCATCCATCCATCCATCCATTTATCTATCCATTCATGTATCTGACACAGCTTTATTGGTTTAACTCTGTAGTTTTCCTTCAGTATCAACCTCCTCCCACCCACCCTTCCACCCATCCATCTCTCATCCATTTGTCTATTTAGGCAGCTTTCTGTCCATTCATCTGTTTGTCAACCTGTCTACCCCTCAGTCTGTCTACATGTCTGTTCCATCTACCTATTTTGCCACCCACTGTCCATACCTGTAATTTTCCAACAACAGACATTCTTACTCAGGAGACACTTGGCAAATCCTGGATACATTTCTGAGAGTCATGCTGCAGGCAGAGGTTGCTGGCAGCATCTGGGGTGGCGTTCCAGTCATGGCTCCATGTTACCTCAACCACAGCTCAGTGCCCACCACAGAGACCCACCAGTCTCAGTGCCAGAAATGCTGAGTGTAAGACTCCAGGAAGACAGGATGGTCGTTCTCCAGCTCTCAGAATGATCCACCCCTTGTCCTTCACAGGGAACATGAGTTGGATCTCCTGTCGGAGCATCTCTGGGAGCATTGAGGACCTGCTGGATGATTTTGACATGTGCGCCCCTCACATGGACTCTCCTGAGGTCGAACTGGTCAGAGAAGCCATCCAGCTGTGCCGCCCTGCCGTGGAGCTCCGGGGCCTGGGTGAGTGTCCTGGCCTCGTATGCACTGGCTATGTTGTGCACTGGTCTCCAGAAATACATTCTTCCCAGGGGACCGAAAGTTGTTTTCACCAACCTGCACATCTGTCTATCAGTCATTAATTCATCTGCCCGTCTACTCATTCATCTGCCTGTCTATCTACCTATCTACCATTGATCCCCCAGCCTTCCATTCACAAATCTGTCCACCCATTCACACATCTATATGTGTTTGTGTCCATCTACCCACTATGTCACTTTCTTATCTAACCCCATGATGCCTCCTTTAAAACTAACTTGTAGAATTTGGAATGCAGCCAGGAAGAACTTTGAGACAAAATTTGAAAAACCAACGCTGTCCTTCCCTCTGAACCTGCATTTTTCTTTAGACAGGTCCAGACAGGAAGTATTTCAGGGGAATGAAGGGAATTGTATCCAGACTTAATAACAGGACACAAAATAAGTTCTGTGGATTTTGTTTGTTTGTTTTTCAAGGAAGAGTTTCTCTGTAGCTCTGGCTGTCCTCGAACTCACTCTGTAGATCAAACTGGCCTTGAACTCACAAAGATCCACCTGCCTCTGCCTCCCAAAGGATTTTTAATTGATGAAACCCAGGGAAAAAAAGAGAATTACAGGGGTTGGGAAGATGGCTTAGTTAGCAAAGGGCTTGCCGTGAGTGGGCTGACTTGCCCTTAGGTCCCCAGCAGGCACATAAGAAGCCATAGTGGTGCTGCACGCCTGTGCTCAGTGTGGGATGGAGGCAGGAGGATTAGAGGATCTGCTGGCCAGTTAGTCGAGCTGAACTTGTGGGCTCTGAAGTCAGTGAGACCCTCATAGCAAAGTGGAGAGTGGACGGAAAGGACACCTGGCAGTGACCACTGACAGCACACACATGTGCATGCACATGCATGCGCACACATGTGAGCACACACACACATGAGCATGCAAACATGAACGTATGAGCATGTACACATACAGGCATGTGAATGCATACTTGAACATGCACACACACAAGACACACATAAGCATATACACACAGGCATGCAAACATGCACATATGAACATGAGCAGTTAAGCATGCACACATGGAGCGTGCATAGGAGAGTGCACATGTGCATACAGAATAATCACTGTAGGCAGATGGGATGATACACTTGCTTTCCCAGAACTCAGGAGCCTGAGGCTGGAGAACTATTCCAAGTTCAATGCTAGCCTGGATTACATAGCCTCAGCTATGGTGTGAGACCCTGCTTGAACAAACCATACATATGTGCACACACAAAGGAGAAAAGCACATGTTCTATGAAGATTGTCTTTCCCTCCCTCACAACAGAGTCTTACTGTGTAACACAAGATGTCCTCAAAGGCACAAGCCTCCCACCTCAGTCTTGAGATAACAGGTGGGAGCCACCATGTGTGGCTTTATGAAAACCACCCCTTCTTCTGGGCTTGAGAATCTCTCAGGTTTGTCAGCTGGTCCTTCGGATGGTGTCTTGTTTCACTTGTTATTTTTTATCTACTTAACTGTATTTATATTTTTATTCTGTGGGAGTATGTGTGTGCCACAGTACACGTGTGGAGATCAGGGGACAAGGTTTCATTTTTCTCCTATCATGTTGCCCTGGTTGATGGCAGTCACCTTTGTCTGTGGAGCCATCTTGTCTGCCTTAAGATTTTATTTGAAAGTAAATTTGGAGTGGGGAGCGGAGATTGAGCTTTGTGCTAGAGCCCCAACATTGGGGGTTCCCAGAGAAACAGCTTAGCCTCTCACCTGACTCAGCAGGTGACAAACTGCGTGGAGGAAGATCAGGTGTTCAAGGTCTGCCTCAGCTACATAAGACACACTGACAAAAGAAAGAGGAAGGAGGAAGGGATGGAGGGATGGATGGACGGAGATAGGGAGGGAGGAAGGCAGGGAGGGAGAGAGGGAGGAAAAGTAAAAAAGAAAAAGTAAAGATAGGAAAGGTAGGAAAATGTAGGTCCTTCATTTACAGCCCAGCAGCAGATGGAGTGTAGTAACAGATATCACCACCAGAGGGCACCGCAGACAGCACATGTTCCCAGTGCATTTCTCCTTGAGCAGGGCCACCATGCAAGCGACTGTGTAGCTTTCAGGGAGCTGGTTCCTATTTATTTATTTATTTGTATGTATGTGTGTTTAGGTGCCCATACAAGACAGAGGAGTTGAATTCCTGGAATTTGAGTTACAGGTGATTGTGAATCACCAGATGTAGGTGCATACTCTTAACTACTGAGAATTTTCTCCAGTCCCCTCCATATAAAAATGTTTGTGTGTGCACGGTCAGCCACTCATGTGTGAAAGTTGGAGGACAGTCTGAGGGAATTGGCTCTCTCATATCTTGCGGGTCCTGGGTATTGAACTCAGGTCATCAGGCTTGACAGCAAGCGCGTTTATCCACTGAATGGGATCTCTACTCTCTGTTCTTTTTCAGTCAGGGTCATGCTATTGACCTGGCTTTGAACTCTTAATCCTACTGTCTGAAGCTCCTGTGAGACAAGACACCAAGCATGAACAGAAGTGCCCACTGTGGGCATCTTGCTGTGCTGTAAATTGGGAAGACACCGATGGCCCAGCAGAGATGCTTGTCCCTGACTAATGAGCAGGGAGGGCTGCCAGATGGGCTTCAGGGATGAGGTCAAACAGCAGCTTGGGGTGGTAGCACTCAACTGGAGTTGGGCACAGTTTACCTATCCACCGAGCCTCCCGCTCTCCTGTCTTCCTTTCTTCTTTCTTCTGTCCATCTATCCACTTCTCCAGTCTTCCCCCCACATTTTGCCAATCTGTCCATGCAGCTCCCTTCCACCCTCACATTCATCCATCTTCCCACCTTCCACCCACTTTCCATCCATCCTTGAATCCATCCATCCACCATCCACCTTGTTGATCTCAACTACTTGGGGAGCTGAAGTGAGAGGTGCTCTTGATCCCAAGAGTCAAGGCCAATCAGGGAATAACAAAACGAATAACTAATTAGTTAATAAACTCATTGATCCAGAAGTGCCCCTTGGAGAAGAATAGCTGGTTTGAGGAAGAGCTTCAGGGTGAGGGACATGGTCAGCAGAGCCCAGAGGCTGGCAGCTATTCTGTGCCCAGGAGGCAGGGGGATGAATGAACACAGGAGAAATCGCAGGCCTGGGGCTGAGGGGTCCCAGCTTCTCATCTGCAGCCTTGTAAGAGTTGGGGTTCATTGGTGTGGCACGGTTCAGCCGGGCGGGTGACGCCTCATTTTGTTGCAGAGAAGAGTGTCCTCTACACAGAGCTCCTGGCCAGACTCCTTTTCTTTGCCACATCACATCCAGCAATAATCGGACAGCTGTGCCAACAAGCCCAGAGCTGGTTCCGTACCTGCCCCTACCCGATGCTTGTGCCCCTGGCAGGATTCCTGCAGCCACCTGGTGGACCTCTTCAAGCCACTCTCACTGGTTGTCACAAAGGTGAGTGTCCCCCAAAACACAAAACCCACACCAGCTCACTGTGTACTCAGTGGCCCAGATGCTAGATATTTGGGGCTGCTCTCTGGGGCTCCCCTCTGCTAGGCAGAAGGGCCTGAAGTGCCACTGGGACTTTCACTTGCCGCCTCATGCTGACTAGGCTTTCTGTGTCCCCCGGGACTGTAGATTGATGCTGTAAGTACTGCTGGCAGAGTCCTGCCTCTGAGGTTTTGTCCCAGAGAGTTGCTGGCTGCAGAGTTCCACAGGACTTCAGGTCTGACATAGTTGTGTCACCATATGTTCCCTCAGTGCAACTTGCCCGCTACCTAACCACACCCATACACATCCATCTACCTTCCCCCATCACCCGCCTTTCCACACACAATCCGTTCATCCACCCAACTTGTCCATCCGTCGATCCACTCACCATCTGTCCGTATTTCCCTAAGTCTAGTCATCCACTTATCCACCCATACCCCAGCAGAGGTTCTTCGCTCACTCGTCCATCTGTTGGTGTATTTGTTCATCAAACCATTGATCTACACATCCGCTCATCCGCCCACCCGCCTATCGATCCTTCCCTCCATCCAATCTTCCACCCGTCATCCACCCTCTGCCTGATAGCTATTGTTTTTTTAAGACATTTTCTTTTTAAAAATTTCTTTCCATCTCTGTCTGTCTCTCTCTGTGTCTGTCAGTCTCTGTCTCAGTCTCTGTGTGTGTGTGCGTGTGCGTGCGTTACACATGTATAGGGATTCCTACAGAGGCCAGAAAAATCTGTCAGACCCCCTGGAGCTGAAGTCACAGTCAGCTGTGAGCCGCCTGACGTGGGTGTGGAGAACTGAACCCAGGGCCTCTGGAAGAGCAAGGCTTCTTAGCCTCTAGGCTATCTACGCAGCTGCCTTGCATCTGTTCTTACATTACACCTGACCTCATTCCACACGTCCCTTACTGGCCAGTCCCACCCTGCTCTTCCTCTCATTACTCACAGCTGCTTAGCAACTGACCCTGAAGCTGCTGCGACCTGAGCAGCTAGCGTTTGTCTCTCCGCTCCCCTACTGGCCTGCCTTCCTCCTTCTCCCTCCTTCCCTTTGTCTGTACACATTATCTCTCAGCCATCATGAGACCCACACACGTCACAGGGCTCCAGGCTCCAGCTCCAGCTATCTCAGGCCCCAGGCAGTTTCTCTCCACAGTAGAAATTTTGACTGCTCTGAAGCAGAGAGGAAATGACTCAGCAGCTGCACGTAGCTAAGGAGGGGACTAGTGAGAAAGAGAAACGCCATCTTCCCTATGGTGTCACAGAATTAGGATTCGTTGAGTCTAGTTGCCCTGTCTACTTTCACTGTGAATCTTATTTGGCCAATGATAACTGCTGTAGCCCGTACTGTCTTTGTGACATTTGAACCAGGGGGAAGGGGAGAGAGGATGATATCTTTTAGGGGCATCACCTAGAAGTTGTTTCTACTCTTATTGACTAGTAATAGGATATCTCCAACTGTAAGGCTGTGAGATTCTGTCCCTGTCTCTATCTCTGTCTCTCTTTTTCTCTGTTCTGGAAATTGTGTGGGTAACTATATGTGCAGATAAGAACACATGAGCTTTGGGGGTTTCTCAATAAATGAAGAACATAAAATGGCTATGAATACAGCCACAGAGAATCTATGATGCTGTGATAGATTAGTGATGTCTGCCATGGTATAGCCAGGGGATGTTACCACTGAGAGGCTTTCCATCAAGTCTGGGACAGGGATGCATCTGTGCTTTGTGGGCTTCCTCTTGTCATGTCAGGGATTGAGGAGGTTCTGCCTACCCTGGACTTCTGTTTCCTGACTTGTTTGAGTGGGAATAAAATGTGAGTTAACATTTCCAAGATCACTCAGTAACTTTGAGTACATGAGAAGAAAAAGGAAAAACAAAGAAATAAAGAAAGTAAGGGTCTGTATAGGTGGGCCAACTGTGACTTAACAGTCCTCACTAATCAACCCTTCACATCTGGGGAAACTGAGGCATGAAGAAGGAGAGGACTCAATGGCATTCAGAAAAGTCTGGTTTCTGCATGCTGAGTTTCTCTTTTATTTTTAAAACTTATTCATTTTATCGTTATGAGAATGAGTGTTTTGCCTGCATGTCTGTCTGGTGACTGACTGTCTGCTTGGTTTTGGTCCTTTAGATCCCCCTTAGATTCTTTCTCAATTACTCTGTACCTTGTTCATTGAGATGGGCTCCCCCAGTTGAACCTCAAACTCACCAATACAGCTATTCTAGCTACATAACTTCCTCCAGGGACCCCAGCTCTGCTGCATTTACAAGGGTTCTGGGGATCCAAGCTCTGCTACATGCTTAGCTGCACTAAGCCATCCCTCCAGGCTGGTGTTATCTAAGGCTGAGTACCTCTCGGCTCAGTGATATTTTAACCAAAATCCACCAAGGTGAGACTGTTTGCCTAAACTATTAGCAATCTCCACTTTCCTCCCCTCTTCCTTCTCTTCCTCCTCTTCCTCGTCTTCCTCCTCCTCCTTCTCCTCCTCTTCTCTGTGTGTGTGTGCATGTGTATGCATATGTCCATGTCTGTGCATGTCTATGTGTACATGTGCATGCATGTGTGTGTACACATATTACAGACCATGACACTGAGGATGACACTTCAGAGCAGGTTGTCTTCTTCTGTCTTTAAGTGATCCTGGGATGGAGCTCAGGTGGCCAGGCTTGTGGGGAGAACTCTTACCTGCTGGGACAGCCAGCAGGCAGGCTGTCTGTCTAGAAAATATCTCATTTGGTGTCTCAGGCTAGCCTGGAAAGCACTCCATAGCCCAGGTTGGCTTTGAGCTCATGCTAATCCTCCTGCTTCAGTCTCCTGGGTGTCTATGTATGTGCATGTGAGTGCAGTGCCACCAGAGGCCCAAAGAAGGTGACAGATTCCCCAGAGCTGGAATTAGAGGGAGTTTTGAGCCTTTCATCAGGCAAGAGCAAGTGGACACCATCTCTCCAGCCCCCCAAGGTGCTATAGACAACCTCAGTGTGAGGTTTCACCATGTTTGTTTTATAGATTTGGAGCCACCTCATGGGTGTTGGGAACTGAACCCTGGTCCTCTGCTAAGGCAGTAGGAATTCTTTGTTTTCTTTTTGTTTGTTTGTTTTTCGAGACAGGGCAGTAGGAATTCTTAATCACTGAGCCATCACTCCAGCCTGCCTTCTGCTTTGATTGAGGCAGTGTCTTTCCTGTTTGCTGTCCTGTGCTGCAGTTTAGTGGCCAGCAAGATTCCATCGAGTCTCCTGTCCTTCTCCCCATCTTGTCGGAGGCTGGAGCTACATATGTTCGTCCTACTGTCCCTGGATGTACGTGGGATCTGGGATCCAAACTCCAGTCATTAGGCATGCACAGCGAGTGCTTTGCTCATGGTGCTGCCTCCCAACCCCCTTTCCCATTACAGTCTGGGCTGCTGAGAGGCTTCTCACAAACCTGATGACCTGGCTCTGATCTAGGAACCCACATGCTGGAAGGAGATGACTTACTCCTGCAAATTTTTCTCTGATCTACACACACACACACACACACACATACATAGACATACACAAAGACACACACAGAAACACACACATAGACACACCTATACATAGAGAGACACACACAGAGACACACAGACACATACACAGATGTACACACAGAAACATACACACACACTCACATACACGTACATAGACACACACGCAGACACATAGACATACACATAGACACAGATGAGCATATATAGAGACACACACAGAGACACAAAGGCACATACACAGACACACACAAGAGACATACACATATATACACAGAGAGATACACACAAACACACAGAGACTCACAGACACACAAAGAGACACACACATACACAGATATACACAGAGACACACACACAGACATACGCAGGGAGACAGACACAGGAACACACACAGGCACACACACAGAGGACACATATACACAGACATACACACACACAGACACGCACACACACAAACATACTCAGAGACACACGCAGACATACACAGAGAGATGGACACAGACACACACATAGAGACACACACAAAGACACATACATACAGACACACACATACACACACACACACCGAGACACACACACTTTAAAGTAAAAAAGAAGGTTTAATTACATAAAAAAAAAATCCATGGTGTAGGCAGTATCTGGGACTTCCTTTTTAAAGTCTGTCCTTTCTGGCTGTGTGACTTTAGGATGGCCATTGGGTCTGTTTGTGCCTTGGTTTTCCTGTTTATAAATGGAGACTCTCACAGACTCTGACTGAGGCCACAGCTGTGTGTGTTCAAGTCCTCACTGTCACCTCTGTGTGTCTGCAGGCATCACCACCATAGCATGGAGCCTGGAGGAGAAACTCCTGGTGGTGGGCACCCAGGATGGCGCCGTGGTCGTGTGGGACGTGGAGGAACAACAGGTGGTCCATGTTCTAATGGGACACACAGGTGACCAGTGAGACATGGGGTGGCTGCACACTGTCCTCAGGGCTCCTTCTCCCTCACACATAGACATTCCTGCACTGAAATGCTCTGGCTTGCTCTGCGTCAGTCAGAACTGCATAACAATTCACCTCACACACAGTGGCTGCAAACAAGATTTTTATTTTTAAAAAAATTGGGAGGCAGGGGCTAGGGAGATTGGCTCAGGAATTAAGTGTGCAGTTTCAGTTCCAGCACCCATGTTGGGTGGCTCACACTGCTGTAACCCCAGCTCCAGGACATCCAATGTCTTCTTCTGGCCTCGACAGGCACCTGCAGACACACAAAGACAGACATACATACACAGACACATACACACACGTACACATACACACACATACATACACATATACACACATACACACACATAAACACACAGACACACACATACACATAAACACACATACACACACATACACACATACATATACATACACACATACATACACATACACATACACATACATACACACATATACACATACACACACATACATATACATACAGACACCTACACATATATACACACACACAACACATACACACATACACATACACACACATATACACACACATACATACTACACATACACACATGCACATATACACATACACACATACACACACATACACACATATACATACACACATATACACATACACACATACACACATACACATACACACATATACATACACACACATACACACATATACACATACACACATACACATATACACATACAGAAGTACACACATACACACACATACACACATACACACATATACATACACACATGCACACACACATACACATACTCACACACACAAACTAAAATAATAAACTTTAATTTAAAAAGGCTAGGCTCACAACATAAAATATTATTTAAAAACTAAAACAAACTAAAATCAAACTAGTAAGTATGTGAGGTTGTGTTTCAGTGTGACATCTCATGCATTATATGTATAACATGTGGTGTCTATAATGTCTAGATCACATTCACTCCACTGCCCACTCAGGCCTTCCTTTCTCTCCTGTCTGGTCTCCTTCTCTTTCTAGGCAGTCCCTGCCTTGCTTTCCTTTGTAGGACATGGGGTGTGGGGCGTGGGGGCGTGGGATGTGGGGCATGGGGCGTGGGGTGTGGGGCATGAGGTGTGGGGCATTGGATGTGGGTTGTGGGCCATGGGCCATGAACCAATGCACATCAGCAGGGTAATTTACAGAGGCTCAGGGTGAGGGATAGAACATCTACCTTCCCTTCAACCATTAACTACCTGTAAGTCCTCAGAGAGACATACGACTCTTCCCTGAGAGACGGTGGTGGACCCAGTCCCGTGCAGACTTTATACAGTGTCACAGCTGCTTCAGCTCATGAGAGGGATGGTCTTGTCATGCCTGAAAGTATTCACACACTGTCAATGTTCCCACAATGCTTCAGTCCTCCTTCCTGCTCTTGGATTCTTCCTATCCCATGATGTTCTCTGAGCCTTGCGGGGGTGTGATATGGATGACCCATTTTGGGGGTCATCACTCAACAGTCACCTTATGCTTATAAGTCACTTTACAAGCTACTTCTTCTGAGGGTTAGCACCTCGAGCAGGGCTCTCAGAGTGGTTCTTCCTTTCCCAGCCAGGCTGGCACATGCCCTGATACTCCACTGCAGTCATATGGGCAGGTGGCTACCTCATGGTATTCTTAACTGAGACTATTGATCTCTTGATGGGAGGGACTGCAAAGTCATCTTGTCAAGGGGTCAAGGACAGTGTAGATAATATCATCAAAGGCACAGATCAAGGAGGGAAAAATTGCAGTCAATTTTGCAATGCGGTTTAGTCCATTTTTTTGTTGCTGTAACAGAATGCTATAGACTGGGTAACTTATAAACAACAGAAGTTTATCTGAGTGACGGGCCTAGAGTCTGGGAATCTAAAGATGCAGTCAGTGTGTCTCCCACACCATCACGTGCTGAAGCCATCTGCTCCAGTTTTGTTGCTGTGACAAACTGCTTTAGCAAGGGCTGGAGCGATGGCTCAGTGGCTAGGAGCACTTGTCACTTTTATGGAGGACCTCGCTTTAGCTCCTTGGAGCCACACGGTGGCTCACAGCCATCCACAATTCCAGTCCAAGATGATCTAATGCCCTGTTCTGACCTCCAGAGGCCCCAAGCACACACATGATACACATATACTCATAAAATAAAATAAATACATCCAAAAATTGTTTAAAAAATGCTCAACTAAAGGGAGGATGGAACATATTTGTTCACAATTCAAGGTCACAGTCCGTCATAGCAGGGAAGTCACAGTGGCAGGAGCTTGAAGCAGCTAGTTACACCCATAGTAAGAGCAGAGAGACAGAGAGAGACAGAGACAGAGAGAGACAGAGAGACAGAGAGACAGAGAGAGACAGAGAGATGGAGAGACAGAGAAAGAGACAGAGTGAAACAGATAGAGACAGACAGAGACTGACAGGGAGATAGAGAGAGAGAGAGACAGACAGAGTAAGGCAGAGAGAGTGAGAGAGTGAGAAGGAGGGAGAGAGGGAGAGAAGGAGAGAGGGAGAGAGAGAGAGAGAGAAAGAGAGAGAGAGAGAGAGAGAGAGAGAGAGAGAGAGAGAGAGAGAGAGAAGAATCATGCTGCAGGCTCTCCCAGTCCATGCAGGTGCACTCACCTGCCTGCTTGCTTGTGCTCAGCTTGATTTTTCCACTCTTACACAGTTCAGGACCCTCTGCCTAGGGGATGGTGCTGCCCATAGTGGACAGGTCTTCTCACAGCAATTAAGGCAATCATCAGTCTCCCACAGATCTGTCCACAAACAACTCCTTGTCCCCAGATGAGTCTAGCTTGTGTTAAGTTGACAAAGTAACTCTCACAGCATTGTACGGCAAAGGGATGGTCAAGAGAAAGGAAAAGGGACCAAGTGGCCCTTCTTGTAACTACCCCGACTCCTGTGACTGTGACACCAATCTCCTCATGAGCTCCCATCACTTACCAACGTGAAAGGGTTCCTTCTCTACACATTGTTGCAACAAGGACATGAATTTGTGTGTGTGTGTGTGTGTATGGGGGACTTCCAAGTCACAGCCATTCTTTTTTTTTTTTTTTTTTTTTTTTGGTTTTTTGAGACAGGGGTTCTCTGTATAGCCCGGGCTGGCCTCGAACTCAGAAATCCGCCTGCCTCTGCCTCCCGAGTGCTGGGATTAAAGGCGTGCGCCACCACTGCCCGGCTTTTTTTGTTTTTTTTTTTTTTGTTTTTTTTTTTTTTGGTTTGTCACAGCCATTCTTAAGGGAGGTTTCTCGTCTGCCTCCTGTCTTCCACAGACAGTCTTCATTCATCAAAGAAATTATTGAATGTCTCATGCATGCTGCACCAAAACATTCAATCATCTTACATTTTAAAAATAACATCAAGGGGCTGGAGGGATTGCTAAATGGTTAGGGGCTCTCTCTGCTCTTCTAGAGGACTAGGGTTCAGTTCCCAACACCACGGCAGGAGGCATACACCGCCTGTGTCTCCAACTCCAGGGGTCTAACACCCTCTTTGGGCCTGTATGGGCACCATATACATGTGCACAAACCCACATTCATGTACATTAAAAAATAAAATTTAAGAATAATAAATTCACTGGGTAGTGGTGGGGGGCAGAGGCAGGAGGGTCTCTGAGTTCAAGGCCAGCCTGATGTGTGTAGTGAGTTCCAGGACAGGCAGGGCTGCACAGAGAAACCCTGTCTCAGAGAATCATCAGTAGTAATAATAATGATGCATTCTTTTTAAAATGATGTAAAATATGGCATAAATACTGCTCAGGCCGGCAAGATGGCTCATCAGGTAAATGCATTTACCTCACAAACCTCAAAAACCTGGTGACCTGAGTTTGATTCCCGGAACCCATGTAGAGGTGGAAGAAGAGTCCAGAAAGTTCTCTGATCTCCACATATACCGTGCATGGTGGCAATGTGCTATTCCCTCCCCCAACACCATGAGCATACATACAATGATGATGATTTTATTTTTAATTGAAAAATACTACAAACTCTCCACTTGTTATGTCCCATCTTCTACTGTCTCCATGCTCCCCAACACTGTGTGTGAAGGAGATGACATGGTATGGTGTGATGTTTCGTTTTGTCAGTTTGACACAACAGAATCACCTGGGGAAAAAGTCTCCAAGAGGGACTCCAGATCAGGTTGGTCTTCAGGGGTTGTCTTTAGGTAGGAGGACCCACCCACTGTGGGCAGGACCATTCCCTAGGCTTCTTCTCCCTGTTCTTGACTGTGGGTGTGACTGCTGCTTCCATCGCTCCCTAATTTCCCCTCAGTGATGGACTGCAACCTGGAACTGAGAACTGAATAAACCCTTCTCTTCTTCCCTAAGTTGTGTTTGTTAGGTTATTTAACACAGCCACAGAGAATGGACTGGAATAAAACATCTCTTCCCAGCTCTGTGTTCAATGCTCTTATGCTAACAGTGGAAACCAGTTAAGGCTAGACCATTTGCACCATGGGAGTGGGCAAGAGCAGTGAATCCCAGCTTTTGCTCCTGGCAGACTGTTAAGTAATTACCAACACATTGCGCTGTTCTGGCTTCCCTCAGCAGGGTATATAATTTCAGATTAAACATTATATAAAATATGTAGATATAGATAAATAGAGGATAGATTTTTGCTTTTTTTCTGTTTGTTGTTTATTTTTACAGATTTTTCTGTTATACTTGAGCCAAAGGTTGAGAAGTAGTTATTTAGTTTCTTGTTTGTTTGTTTTTATTTTTGTTTTGAGACAAAGTTTTCTAGGTAGTTCTGGCTGGCCTGGAGCTCTCTTCCTAGACCAGACTATCCTTGAACTCACAGAGATCTGCTCGTCTTTGCCTCCCGAGCACTGGGACACACCCAGTTGTTTAGGTTTTTTGATACACAGGTAGAAACCAAGTAAACTGTCCTCAGCTAACACCCGGTCCCACACTGTGTCCACCACAGCTGAAGTAAAGTGCGTGCGGGTGTTTGCCCAAGGGACTCTCGTCATCTCTGCATCAAAGGACCGCACTCTGCGACTGTGGAGTCTGCTCTCTGGCCAGGAGAAAGTCACCATTTTGGATGGAGGGTCACCAAATCCCACAGAGCCCCAGAGCTGGGACCTTCATGTGGATGAGATCAACAACTTTGTGTACTCCACATCTGGTACAAAGGTAACAAACTGGCTTCTGTGTGAGTGTGTGTGAGTGTATGTGAGTGTGTGTGAGTGTGTGTGAGTGTGTGAGAGAGTGTGTGTGAGTGTGTGTGAGTGTGTGTGTGAGTGTGTGTGTGTGCAAGAAGCCAGCTAACAGAATAAGCCAAGACAGCCAGGGCTACACAGAGAGACCCTGTCTAGAAACAACCAAACCAAACCAAACCAAACCAAACCAAACCAAACCAAACCAAACCAAACCAAACGAAAACAAAATGGGCTGGGGAGGTTGGTCAGAGATGACGCTCTTCGTGAAAGCTGGAGGAACTCAGGGAAGGTTCTCAGCAGCACATAAAAGCTGTCTATGGCAGGGTTACCTGTGACCCCAGCGCTGAAGGACAGAGACAGTTGGATCTGGCTGTGGATCCTGGAGTCTCAGCAACCAGCTAGCCTAGCTTGTAAGTTGGCAAGCTCCGTTTTCAGTGACAGTGAACAGCAGGGGCTTCCTCACTCACCCTGAGATCTCTTATTCCTTAATCTGATGGGGTAGCCAGTTCACTTTGTGATCCTCTGGCTCTGCCTTCCAAGTGCTGGCTGGCAGCAGCGCTGCACCTGCCTGGCCTTTACACAGCTACTGGGGCCTGAAATCCGGTCCCTAGGTTTGCCCAGTGAGCGCTATATCTGCTGCCTCAGCATCTTTTCATTTGTTTGTTTGTTTTTTGTTTGTTTTGTTTTGTTTTTTTGAGACAGGGTCTAGACATATAGGCTTGCTTCAGACTTGTAGCTACTCTACTGCCTCTGGCTCCCCAGTACGAGGCCTGGTTTTAACATCAATATCTTAACATTTATTTATGGGGTATTATGTGTGTGTGCCACATGTGGAGGTCAGAGGAAAACCCACAGAACCAGCTCTCCTTCCATTGTGTGGGTTTCAGGGATCAAACTCGGGTCATCAGGCTTGGCTACAAGTCCCTCTACTTGATGAGCCATCTCATAGGCCCTTGTCATCAATATTTTATGTAGCAAGGGCACATTTGTCACAAAGAAGACCCAACATTGGTCCTGTCTAGTAGACCTGAGACTTGTTCCATCCTTATCAATTCTTCCATATGATTAAATCATTAAAACAAAAACCAGACAAACAAACAAAAACAAAACAACCTGCCAACGTTGAAAGGCGTGGGTTTTCGTTTTGTTTTTGATACACATTCTGGCCAGGTAGCACACCTTGATGAATGAGCCTCTTACCCTAGCCTCAGAGACGAGAAGACAGGTGTGTGGCCCAACACCTGGCTCAAAGGCACAATTTTATACATTACAGAAGAATGTGTGCTTGGGTGCCATGACAGGTGATAAGCGCTCCAAGCTTCGTGGGAGGCTGCAGTGGGTGGGTTGTTTGAACCCGAGTTCACAGCCAGTCTGGACATATAACAAGACCCCATATGTCAAAATAGGAGTGGAGGAAGAGGAAGAGAGGAGGGACATAAAGAGTTCTTTCTCCTGACTCGGGAAGTCTCGGGCAGGGTCTTTTGCTTGGGAATATCCTTTTTAAATTTTTAAAAATTTATTCCTGTTTGTTTGTTTTTATTTTTTTGAGTCAGGGTCTCTTGTAGCCCAGGCTGACCTTGAGCTCACTATGTAGCTAAGTACAGACTGTGAGCCCTCCCCCCCCACACTGGAGGACAGGCTTATTCCGTGCTACCTGGGCTTCATGGGTACCACCCCCTAAGCCCTGTCCCAGCCCATGTCTTCTGTTGATGCTGATGGTTCTCTTGCTCTTCATGACGTCACTAGATCAACGTGTGGAATCTGGAAACTTCGAAGCTGGTTTTCTGTATCACAGGAGATGCATCTGATCCCTGGGTCTGTGTGACTTTGTTGGCTGCTCAGGGTTTGCTGCTCGCCCTGTCCAAGGGCAGCCAGGTCTGTCTGTGGACCTCTGCCATGGGAAAACTGCAGGAGAAACACCAGTTGTCCAGTATCAAAGAAGAGACACCCACCTGTGCCGTCTCCATCCAGACCTGGGCAAGGCTGGTTGCTGGCTTCAGCAGTGGTTCCATCGCTCTGGTAAGTGACTCCTCACAGACTGGTAGAGGGCTCAGCCACTCAAGCACAAGGACCTGAGCTCAGATGTCCAACTCCCATTAAAGCTAGACTTGTGGGCCCCACATGTGTATTCTGGCTCTGGGGAGGCAGAATCGGGAGGATCCCTGGGAGGTCCTGGCCATGCAGTCTAGTGGAATCACTGAGCTCCAGGTTTAGCGAGAGACCCTATCTGAAGGGACTGGAGAGACAGCTCTGCAGGGAAGAGCACTAGAAGCTTTTGCAGAGAATCCAGGTTCAGTTCCTAGCACCTATATGTTGGACAAAAACTGTAACTCCAGTTCCAGTGTATCTGATGCCCCTTCTGGCCTCTCTTGGCATTGCATGCATGTGGCATATAGATACATGTAGACATATACATATAAAATAAAATGAATAATTGAAAATAAGTTGGAGTGATAGAGGAGAGACACTAAGCTGACCTCTAACTTCCACACACACCTCATACAGTGTACAGACATCTCAGAACGTGGGAGGAGCAAAGCCACCTTTGCCTTTATTTTGGCTGCCCAGTTTCCATATCTGGTGCTGTGATGAAAAAATCCTTCAGGAGCAACTGGGGGAGAAAGAGGTTTAATCAGCTCTCAGTTCTGTCACGGAAGACAAGAGGCAGGAACTTGGAACAGCTGATCACACACGGCCACAGTCAGGAGCAGGAGCCCTGAGGATGAAGGCCTGGGTGCTGGCAGTAGGTTCCCTCCCTTCATCCGGTCTGCCCAGCCCCTGTCAAGGTCAGATCTTCCCACAGCAGTTGTCCTCAGATGCCCACAGGCCAGCCTGATCCAGATAGTCCCTGAGTAACACTCTTCCCTGGGTTCTTCATTGTGTCAAGTTGGCATTAAAAGCATCACACGGGCTGGAGATGTGGTTAAGAGTGGCTTGCTGCTCTTGCGGAGGCCCTGTGTTCAATTCCCAGAACCCACACTGGTTGGCTCTCCACCTTCTGAGCTCCAGGAAACCCAGCGTACTCTTCTGTTCTCTGAGTGCGCCTGTGTGCACACATAAGCAAAATTCCTTATCCCTACTATTGGTGGCCTGTGAACAGTCACCACAGAGTGGTCCCACTGCAGGGCTGGCAGTGGGCTCTGCTCTGTACTGTGGATTAGTTGTGACTCGTCCCCCAACTCCATGGGCCCATGTGGTTAAACACCTGGTCCCCAGGGGCTGGTGCTGTGTTGTATGGCAGTGGAACCTTCCACATGTTGGATGCAGCTACAAGTTTGTCACTGGGAGTAGGGCTGGAGGTTTAGCTACTTGTGGTTCTGTGCTCCACCAAGAAGTTACCAACCCATGAAGCACGGGCACCATCCAAGCATCTGTGCCTTCCCTACAGGGGAGGGGGGTGCAACCTGAGGCTAGAAGCCAAGACAAACATTCTTCCTCCAAGTTGTGTGGGTTAGAGCAGGGTTTGGGGGTGCCTGCTCCCCTTTGTGTTAGAGCACAGCCTAGCATTCTGAGTGTGGAGAGGTGAACACACATGGGTACATAGTTGTGTCTGAAGCAGGGGACGTGGCTGGCATGACAGCAAGAGGTTAAATAAGGAACTGGGCATGGTGGTACAACCTGTAATCCTAACACTGTGAGTTCCAGTACAACCAGGACTACACAGTGAGACCCTGTATCAAAATAAATTTAAAGAGAAAGGAAGGAAGAAATAAACAGTCACCTATTTTTGAGACAGGGTCTCATGTAGCCCAGGCTGGCCTCAACTTTCTGTGTAGCTTAGGGTGACCCTCCTGCCTCCATCTCCTCGGGACTGGGATGACAGGCATGGGCCACCTGGTCTAGTTTATTCCAAATCCATGTCTGTCTCACTGAGCTCTGGGGTTCCCTTAGATACTTGCACTCCCACATCGTCACCGTTGTGCAGAACAGCGGTTACCTCAGGCTGTGCAGAGAGTTCCACAGACACCTTAGCCCATCACTCCTGGAGAGGGTCACCTGGTGTCACTTCTTGTTTAATGGTGAAATGGAGACACTGGGAGTTAAGGAACCCCTCAGTGTGACAGAGCCAGTTGTGGGGGCAAGTCACAAGCCAGCTCAGAATCCCACAGCTGTGCACTGTCTGATGCTCAGCGTGCCCTGCACAGGTCTCCGCTGGAGAGGACACGCTGCTGGAGAAGCTCCCGGAAGCCGTACGGTTCCTGGTGGTTTCTGAAGACGATTCCCTTCTTGCAGCAGGTAGCTTTCGTTTCTCATTGAGGGTAGAGAAACGAAGTAAGATTTGGCTGGAGGCTGGGTGAGACCTGTCCCCTGTCCCCTGTCCCTTGCCTCCCTGCTCCCTCTTCCTTCCCAACAGTGGCCACTACTATTCTCTGTACCTTTGTTCTATAAACTATTTTTACAGTGTGTGTGTGTGCACATGTGTTTGAGTGTGTGCATGTTTGTGTGCGTGTGTGCGTGTGTTTGTATGTGTGCATGTGTGTGTGTTTGCATGTGTGTGTTTGCATGTGTGTATGTGAGTGTGTTTGCTTGTGTGCATGTGTGTGTGTTTGTGTGTATATGAGTGTATTTGTGTGTGTGCATATGTGTGTGTGTCTATGTGTATTTGTGTGTGTTTATGTGTGTTTGCATGTGTTTGCATGTGTGCATATGTGGGGGTCAGAAGAAAACCTGTACTAATGAGCTTCCTCCTTTCGCCCTGGGGGCCCTGGGCCTGGAACTTAGGTTGCTGGGTCAGGAAGCTTTCCCTTGAGCCGTTCAGCCCCTCTGTCTCCTTTGAAATCAACATTGTTAGTGTCCACATGTGAGTGAGAACGAGTCCTGTCTGTCTCCACCATTGACCACTGCACTCAATGAGAAGCTTATTAGTTCTGTTTACATCCCCACGGATGATAGGATTAACAAGATATTCAATCACTCGTGATACACACCCCTACCCACTATACACTATGCACACCCATACCCACCATATACCATACACACCCCTACCCACAATGCACCATGCACACCCCTACCCACTATACACCATGCACACCCCTACCCACAATGCACCATGCACACCCCTACCCACAATGCACCATGCACACCCCTACCCACAGTGCACCATGCATACCCCTATCCACCATACACCTATACTCACCATAAATCATACATGCCTGTATCCACCATACACCATACACACTTGTACCCACCGTAGGCCCTACATACCGATATCCCCCATAAACCTGTAACTACCATATGCTATGTATAACACACTTGTAATCACATGCACATCTGTAATTACTGTGGCTTTAGACACATATATCCACTATGCACATATATCTACCATGCACATATGTAATTGCCTATTGAGACTTTTAAATGTTTTAAGTTTTATTTTTATTATCTTTGTGTGTGTGTGTGTGTGTGTGTGTGTGTGTGATGGACGTTGGTGCCCAAATAGGCAACAGGCAACAGATCGCCCTGAAGCTGCCACTGGGTTCTAGGAACTGAATCGAGGTCCTCAGCAAGAGCAGCACATGCTCTGAACTGCTGATCCATTGCTCCAGTTTCAATAAACAGCTTTCAGTTACTTGTTAATTATTTAAATTAATATTAATCATAGTAGTAAATTTTAATAAATAATTAATTAGTTAAACAATTCACATTGATCACATAGATTATTTTATTCAATATGCCCAAAAATTTAATATGAAATCAATATAAATACTGTGAATGGGTGATTTCTCTTTGTTGTTGTTGTACCAAGTTTTCAAAATAACAGTTGAGAGCACCGGCTGCTTTTGTAGAGGATCAGAGTTCAGTTCCCAGCGCCCGCAGAGCAGTGCACAACCTGGTGTAACTCTAGTTCCAAGGACTCTGGTGCCCCTTCTGGGCTCTAAGGGCTCAGCATTCAGGTGGTGCATAGGCATCCGTGCAGCAACTCACACTTAGACGTAAAGAGAAGCAGCGGGTAGTCCAGAGCTGCATTCTGATGGATGGCGCTCACTGAGTGAGTGTAATGCTGACCGCCTGTCCTGCGTACGTGGGCTGCCAGTGGCGCAGGTGCTAGGCTTGTCACAGGAAGGAGGGATGACAGGAGGAGAGACAAGCTGACACACAGGAGTTGAGGCTGAGGTGAGGACTGAGGCACACCTTATGTGTACCAGGCTGGCTCTCAGGTACAGTGTGCACCAGGCACCTGGGGGGCAGCAAGCCATGCTGTTTCTCTTTCTCAGTTTGAAGGAACCTGACTATTGCAGAGGGAACCAGTCTGACCTGACTTGGGTAGTATCAGCAGTGATTAGTTTTCAAGGGTGATAAACAGAGTTGTAGGGTGCTGCCCCTGAGATGATCAGCTCTGTGAATCACTAGTCACCCCGCCCCCGCTGTCAGTCAGCTTAGTTAATTGTGGGCTCCAGGCCTGTGAGAGACCCTGTCTCAAGAAATTAGGTAGGTCCAGGAGATGGCTCAGTGGGTAACATGATTACCAGCAAATACAAGGTCTTGGCAATTTATGTATTTATGTATTTATGTATTTAATGAATGAATGAGTGTTCTGCTACTTGTATACCTACGTGCAAGCAGAGGGTATCAGATCCCTTTTTATAGATTGTTGGTTGTGAGACACCGCGTGGTTGCTGGGGATTGAACTCAGGACCTCTGGAAGAGCAGCCAGTGCTCCTAACCACTGAGCCATCTCTCCAGCCTCAAGTACAAGGTTCTAGGCCAGTACTGGGGCAATGGAGACAGGAAGATGCTACTAGCATATTCCTGAGATGCCGAGTGCTCAGGTTCAGTGATACACCCCACCTCCATGATAACCACTAACAACCTGCAGCCTTGGCAGAGGTGCAGGTGACAATGCCTGTGTGCCTGTGTGTCTGTGTGTGCCCCACATACATATACATACAAACACAGGTGAGGATTTCTGCTTCTCCTTTCGCAGTGTGGTGCCAGGGATGGGTGCTGCCTCCCAGCAGTGGCATGGGGCAATGTGTGTGCTGCACCCCCAATCAGAAACACTCTCTCAAACTCTGATAGTGAGTTTGCTGCCCAGAGTTGGTCACATTGGCATTGATGACTGACCATGAGGCTGACCTTGGTCTCCAGTCCCTCATAAGATGCAATGGAGTCTGTGTCAAACTCCCTCGGGAACACACTTTGTTACTTTGAAAAACACTGAGACACACAAAGACCGTCATTAACAGGGAGGAAGCTGTAAGATAAAGGCTGAGAAGGCTCATCCCTAGCACCAGGCCAGGGCTAAGGCTGCACACTGCTGGATGTGGGGCTCAGGCCTGCTGGTTGCACCTTTGACATCGACGGGTTGTGTTTGAGGGGGTGTGCTTGTGTGAGGTCAGCGGACGATTTCAGGGAGCCTGTTCTCCCCTCTACCATGTGATTCAAGTCCTTAAGCTTGGTGGTAAGTGCCTTTAACCGCAGACCCCAAAAGATCATTTACTTAGTGCCCAAGATTAGACCTCAAATACGGTGAATGCCACGATGTGTTTCACCAGATAGAATCCTGAAACATTCTTTCTTGGGAGACCAGTATTCAAGGACCCTAGGATGGAGAGAATTCCACTGAGGGTGTGGAGAGGCAAGGAGACAGGCTTGAAGCAGAGGCTCTGGCTCAGTGTAGAATGTATGGACTCAGTTGAGCACTTACAGCTCAGTAAGTAGAGTGTTTGTATCTAGCTGTGGTGGCTTGCTTGGATTTCAGTAGGAGGAGTGCTTCTGGTCCATGTTAGAGCGCCTGCCTAGCACACAGGAAGTCCTGGGTTCCACTCCCAGCACCACATAAACCAGGCATGGTGGTGCATGGTTGTCCTCCCAGCATTTGGAAGGTAGAGGCAGGAGGATTGGGAGTTCAGAATCATTCTTGGCTACATAGGAGTTTGAAGTCGGCCTGAGCTACAAGACACCATGTCTTAAAAACAAATAGCAAAAATATTGGCTCTTGGCTTCCAGCTGGCTTAACTTGGTCTGGTGGTGATTTGGGGGGGGGGGGTTCAGGAAAGATAACCCTGAGTCACACATCCAGGAATTCCACAGTGAAGCCTTCACATGGTGTTGTGTGTGTGTATGTGTGTGATGTGTATGTTGTGT